GACGGATATTTCAACTTGTGCAAATGGCTTCAAGTAAAATAAGAGCCTCCAAGAATCACCACAAAGATCACAAGAAAAGGTGAGTTGTTCGTGCTTTTGCTCGTGTGCGATTCATGTTGAATATTTTTGGTTATGTTTTTGCAGTGGATCCCGGTCTAATGCGCATAAGGAACTCGCCAAAGTCGAGCCAAAGAATGACGACGACGATTATAAAACTAGGTATGTTCGAGGTTTTCTTTTGGAATAATTTTACTGTATGGGAATTTATTTATTGGAGTGTTATTGTATCTTTAAACTTCGATAACATGAACCTCCTGAAGTCGAACACTGTATCTCGCTATGTCACATTTTTTTTTACAAGTCCCTGTCTGGATTCCCTAATTCTCTTGGAAAAAAGGCATGAAAAACCTAAACTCGAAGGCTTTCCTCCTTAAACCTCTACAACCCTAATTTTCTGGATGCCTTTTGCTGTTGTTTCATTTACACGAAAGTGCGAAAAATAATGAAAATTCATCTTGATGTGTATTGAGAAGAAGTGAAAGTTTGCAGTAATTTAGCAAATAAACCCTTGCCTCCCAAGTTCAGCATTCTGTCAACTCATTCAAAAAGGGATTTAGGGCGTTGAACATAACCAATATTTCGATTTCCTGTAATTCTTCTTGCTTTCCTCCAACCCAAATGCTTGTTTCCCGTAAAAGAAACCTCCCAACCCCGATTTTTTGCTGGTCCCTTGAAGTTCGACTTGGAAAGGTTCGACTGTAGATCACTCTTCCATCTGTAATTAAATGATCTCCGAATAAATTCAAATTTGTGTAGAATATTTTGAACATGCTGTATTCTGAAATCGCGTGTAATATCTCATTCCATAGTACTGTAGCTGTCACTTGAGAAGGTCGCTAAAAATTTTGTTAAATCCTTCCCTCGCCAATTCCCTCTTCAAAGCTGTGTTAAACTTGAATTGTGGCAGTGAAAACAATCACGTGGAGTCATACTTTCCACAATGTGAGATGATGATTAAAATTTAAAAAACCCCTTTAAAAAGTATGAATATGAGTATGAGTAAATTAAAAAAGTATGAAACGTAATTTCTCCAAAAAATAGGAATCTCTTTTAGTTCGCCTGTACACAAAATGTCGACGATAAACTGAAAGCTATGCAGATTTTCTGATATGAAGACGTGAAGGCGATTTTGCACGAAAAAATGTATGGAGAACGAGATTACGGTTGATGCGAGCAAATTTTTTGGGCAAATTTCAGTGAAAAAATTAATGAGAAACTCCTTGTGATTTTGCACTCAAAAAGTAGGAGAATGAAAGCACATTTAAAATTAGCGAATTAATGGGGAACATTTATGTGAGAACATAAATGCTATAATCCTTGTTACTCGAAAGTGAGGGAAATTTATGGAAGCGTAACTCAAGTTGCTGTTTCGAGTTCTTTCTTTTTCAACCTTTAATTGTTTGTAAAGGCATTCTCTGCTTTTCTCTTTTTGGTGTCTCAAAATTTTTCTGGCTCTTTGTTTACCTTCGTGAATTTGAAGACCTGCCTTGATGGTATTCATCTTTCGCAAATTCCACTCGCAGATACGCCAAGTTTAGCAACGACCTGGAAGAGAAGCAAATCGCCCTCGTGGAGAAGTGGGTCTCTTACGACATGGACACTTTCGAGGGCCACCCGGCGTATCGCGAAGAATGGGACAAGTTCCTCGTCAAGTGGAAGAAGGACTTGAACCAACCCGGCAAGGAATTGTCACGCCTCAACCTCCAGCGTCTCAAGACGGACTGGCTCACGTTCTGGATCGGCCGACGCGTGAAGGAGCTGTGGAACCAGGAACTGCGCCAACTGCACCAAACAATCCTGAGAACGCATGGGTTCGACGGGTTCCCTGACCCACCTGCCGACCGATTGCCCAAGGAAGTTGGTATGTGGTTCGGGGATTTTTTATTTATTTATTTATTCCTTTTTGGTGAGGGAAGGGGGTCGAAGAAGAAGAAGTGAATATGTTGATTTTGACGTGGAATAATGTTTGTATACTTCTCATGACGCGTAATTCTTCAATATTCGATTGTTGGTTATTATCGCTTGGTCCGTGAATTTATCGAAATTTCATGTCTCTTTGCACGATATTCATATAATTTTTCACTTATTCATCCATTTTTTTCAACTGGAAGGAAGGAAAATCAAGGAAGCAGGGTGATGGAGAGGATAGGATCTAACAGGACTTGGGCAAACGTCCCTGTACCTTGCCTTCTGACTTTTAGACCAAAGATAAAATGAATAAATATATGTCCTGTATAACTTTAATGTAATGATAAAAATATGAGATACAGAAACCAGGCCGTGGATGTTTTTGGAAAAAATTGGAAAGCATGTTTGCTATTGAAAATAATTTTTATTGAGCCTATTTTTCATTGAGGGTAACAAATTTGTTGTGGCACTAAATTGGGGTTTCCCTTGAGAATACAATGGACGGAAATTTCTTGTAGGACAATTTATGACACAATGCACGGGTTGCACTAAATTGAGGGTTGAATGTACAGTGAGACCCCTAGATGCAGACATAATTGGTGCATCAAGAGTGTCTCTAAGTCGAGTCTTGATTTCCCATAGACTTACAACATATAATTTTTAATTGGTGTTTGGTGGGAGAAGTATTCTTCAGAATTACCTGAAAAAAAATTTTGCCGCTTAAATTTGAATTAGTGAATACATTTTCAACTCATTAAGAACATTTGGAGCATTGAATAGTGTATCTCTGTACTGTACATTGAAATGTTGGCATCTACAAAAATAACATTCAAGTGAAAAAAAGTAGAAGTCCCTCTATGCTGGAGGTAATTTTTTAAAATTAGCTAAATGGAGTGNCGCATCACTTTTGAATATACTGTATATGGAACATTTTTACAATAAATTTTAAAAATCAAAACATTTTAGGGTTGGAAATATGTGTATCTTGTAATTTGGCTTGAGATGTATGTGCGATTTTATTGCAAAATGTCCTTATGTTGAGTCAGTGTCCTCATGTCGGGCCTTTTTTATTAATTTTTTCTGGGAAAATAAGTGTCCCTATGTTGAATTGTCCATGAGTCAAGGTGTCCACATGTGGGGGTCTCACTTTCATTTCAAATTTCTCGCATGCCGGACAGCTGCGTTTTGACTTCTGAGCCTACCAGTTTTTCAAGCAACTTATGGGTTATTTTCACGTACAGTACTTTAAGAAAAGGACAATGTTTTATAGCAGTTTCTTTTTCAAGGTTCGGTCGGTGGGACGGATCCGAGCAAGAGTTCACCTCCTGTCCGTGGCGCATCTGCCAAGGATGAAGGGACGGAGCATAAAGGAAACGACGACTCGACCGTGGGGATTGCCAAAGACGCCGGCGGGGCTGTGGTGAAAAAGGAACCGTGTTCTTGTGTAGCAGAGATATTCGACTTTTTTGGAAAACATTTCGGACGGAAAGGTTTGCATTTTCGAACACGCGACTGCTGCCACTGCAGTGCTGTACTGTATACTGTATACTGTATTTAAAGGATTGCCACATCGTTTGAGGATTTAACTTTAAAGTTTCCGTTCTTGAGCCGCCATTATAAAACGAAGATGGTTTAGAAAAAAAGTTATATCTTGGAAAGACCGTTGGATTGCACTTGAAATATTATTACGACGAACCCTTGGAACCTCAAAAATGAACTTGTTGTAGGCAGTACCGTATTTACTTGAGTACCACACGCACTTTTTTTTTTTAGCTAAGAAGAAAAGGGGAGGGTGCCCCTCACAGACGTTTGTGAAGCTTTTAAAACTTTGGTGCACCTCATACTTGATTCCGAAGGAGGACTTCTGACCAAGTTTTGCAGACAATTCTGAAAATGGAAATGAAAAATTGAAATTCAAGTGAAGAACAATTCAAGTAAAAACGTAAATTTTGCTGCGTTTGATTTTCAAAATATTTAACTTTTCAGTATTGATAAATGGGGTGAATGTCTTACTGGGGATACATTTTAATGCACATTTTATGCTGATGAAGTGGGATATGCGTCTTTCTGAAGTAAATACTCATGTACATACGAGATTTTTTTAATGCCATATTTGTTGTAACAAGATTTCACTGCATATGGATGTCAGTAACATTTATGTTCAGTACACAAATTCAAGAGGGTTTCTGTGCAAAATCGAATTTTTTGAAGATTTTATGACTGTACCAATTTTGCTTGTTTGCGTTGCCCTTCATCGAATCACTGGGGCGAAATACTTCGGGAACGTTTTGCATGGAATAGATTATTTTTTGTTGTTGAATTGTTTCATCAAATTGGAACTCTTTGAAAATGGCAGGCGATGATCTCTTTCTAAAATATGAGACAAGAATGCAGAAAGGTAGGTATAGTACACAGGAATGTGATTTTGAATTCTGAAGACTTCCTCTTGACAAATTATACGGTATTTACTTGAGTACCACGCACATCTTTTATCAAAATTGCAAAGAAAAAGAAGGTGCGCATTATAGGCGGGGATAACCTGTTCGAAAAATGTTTGAGGTTTCAGTGTGCCATGCGCATCACTTTTGAATATACTGTATATGGAACATTTTTACAATAAATTTTAAAAATCAAAACAATTTAGTTCAGGTTGAATTCTTGCTCTTATTTGAATTCTGGTGTCTCTTGTTTTTATCCTGGTCTAGTTTTTTATTCACGAAAATACGTATGTGGGTCTTCATCCGAGATGGGATTTCATCAACAATTCAGGGTGAAGAATTGGGAAATAGTGTGTGGCAATCAATTGAATACGGTATTGAAGTAAAAAATATATCATGATCATGGTAAAATGTTGTTACAAGAAAGCTCTTTAAGTCCAGAAACTAACCTTTGTCACAATTAGCCTTAAACAACATTGTGGCCATTCTGGAGGTACAGTACCTCAAAAATTAATTTGTTCAAAAAAATGAAAAATTATTATGAAATTCGTACTTGTAACAAGATTTAACTGTTAGATACACCGTATTTTTAATAATACAGTATTGCAGCAAAATCACTCGAGAATGTGTTCACTCATTTTTAGATCTCGTTTTTAATAATCCTTTTGAAGCAAAAATATGCAGGTGGACCCTCTCTACAACGAAATTCAAGGGACCAGAGAAAAACTTGTTGTATGGACCATGGAGAATTTTTGTTGTTGCAAAGAAACCCTGTAACGTGGAGAGAGGACAGTACGGGATCAGAAGAAAATGTTGTTAATTAGAGGAAATTGTTGTGGAGAGAGTCCACCTGTATTACAATGTACCATATTTACTTGAGTACCACGCACCCTCAAGTAAGGCACGCACAGGGGTTTTTCTGTTGGAAATTTGGCTAAAATCTTATCCCCAAGTAAGATGCGCACCCCAATTTTTAGTGAATCTAAAACCACAAAATTTGAAAAAAAAAAATTTACTTTAGACATGAATTGAACAAAAATCTGATCAATTTTCAGCTTTTTCAGGACAAAAAAGTTTTCTTGTTACATTTTTTCCAAATTTCTCCCTTATAATCAATTATAATGCTCACATAACTTCCTAAAACTTCTTGACAAATTTGAACCTGCTTATGATGCCACCCCTTTTTTTCTTCTGAAATTTGAGAAAAAAGGTGCGCGTGGTATTTGAGTAAATTTGGTAATAATGTTCAGTGTACAGTATGATGCACAATTACTGTGTTATTGAGGCGAAGTTAGACTTATTGTAGGAAGTGGACCAATCTCTAGTCCTGGGAAACATTTTTTACTGTAATTTTTAAACAAATTTTCATTTTCGAAATTGACACTCGAACTGAGACATCTGTAGTAAAAATATGAATACTGTGCAATACTATGCTTGTTGTCGGAAACAAATTCAAGTGGCAATTGTGAATTTCGGTCGCAGGTGCCAATGACGAGGAGAAGCGGGCGACGAATTACGCTCATCTCAAGTGCTGCCTCATCGTGCTGCTCGGCGTGTTGGGCGATATCGAGAGCTTCAAGAAGCACGTGCCTCGCTACGTCGTGGATCGGATCAAGACGCTGTCGGAGAAGGCGATGGCGGCGCAAAAGGGCGGCGGCGAGGACGCGTGTCTCTCGTTCCTCTGCCAGCCGGAAAACGTCCACGCCTTGTCCACGGCCATGACGTTCCTCGGTCGCTGTGCCAAAGCCGGCGTCTGCAAGGGATGGCGTGTCGAGCGATTTATCGACGTGAGCCTATGAATTAATTGCACACCGTACGATTGAAGCATTCCTACGTCGAATTTTTTTTTTTAAAATAAATTCCCTGATGTCTGAGTTTGCTTGGGAAATACGCTAGAAAAACATCCCAGACTTGAATTTTTCTGGGAAATAGAAATGCAAGAAAAATCCAACTTGAAATGTTTTGGAAGTAAGTGAAAGACTTTTAGCTGAGCAAATGAACCCTCGCCTCCAAGTTCAGCATCCTCTCAGCTCATTTAAGGAATGTTTCCCAATTTTTTTGCTGGTCTGCAGGAAATGTTTTTCAGCATGATAAGTTATTCAGGAATAGAAATGAAGGATAATACAGCATTTTTCTCCAACCTTTTTGGGCCCACTGACTGGCAACTTTCCCTAATGTTTTGCAGACCGGCGAATTTTCCAAACAATATTCTATGGGGCCCACACAATTTTGTAAAATTTTTGCACACTCAAAAAAGTGTGGCCTGAAATAGTTAATGGCAGGTATTGAAAAACTTCCTGCTTTTTTGTGAAAAAATGAAGTTCTGGAACAGGTGTAGTTGAAGGTCTTCGAAAAATTAGAAAGGTGGGCTTAAACAAAACTTTTTCAGAATGAAAAATGAAAATAATTTATTTCTTCAGACAGTTATTTGTCTGTAGTGTTATTAGAAGAAAGGCCAATTTTTTCATTAGATAATTTCAACTGCAATTCATTCAGGAAGCACATAATTAAGATAATCAAGACCTAAAATATCACCGGTTAAAATTTCCCGTAATTTTTTTCTTTCTTTTCCTCAACGAAAATTCTTTTTTCCCTGACTCGAAACCTCGCTCATGTCTCTTGAAGAATTTCGACTGTGTTATCTGCGCAGGTGATTGGGGAATTCCTGAATGCCAAGGCCAATTACGACAGCGTAGCCCCGAGTTCATCCGACACAGGCTGCCAAGCCGAAGATGGAGAAGGAGAAGAAGAAGTAGAAAACGACGACGACGACGACGTAAATGGTGATAATGTGGCTAAGTCGGTGTCCGGTGGTGCGACAGCGGAAGGAACATCGATGACAGCAGCAGCAGCTTCTTCTTTTTCTTCTTCCGGAAGTGGCGGCGGGAAACCGGATGCGGAAATGAGCTACAGCTTCGTGACGGTGCACCTGCTCATCCGCGTGCTGGCCAGGAAGTTCTTCCTGCAGAAGCGCAATTGTCCCTCGTGCTGGGAGCAGAAATGAAGTGGGAAGGGACGAAGCCAGAGTTCTGTGTGTGTTCCCGAAAGGCACTTTTTTTCTGTTTGATTTTAATATTACCGAGAGAACGTCCTTTTTTTTGTGGTCCTTATGAAACGATTACGATTTTAAATTTTTTTCTTCTTTCGTAAGGTGCATCCTTTTGGGCTGCTTCGGTGAGTTCAGATTTGTTCCTTTTTCTTCTCTCATGAAGGGTGTTCAGAAAAATACTGTGCATCAAGATAAGTACTGAACGTGCTCCAGTTTTTATTTTAAATACTGTTTTCAATTATTTCCCCCGGGGGTTGAAGAAAGACTAATGTATATTAAAGTCTGACAATTATTTCCAACAGTTGCATCTGTGGAACAAGAGAAAAAAATAAATAAAATTTGAGTTTCCCACTGATTTGTTTTGGAAATGAGACAAGAATGCATAAGAAAAGGCTGAAGTGAAAGGGGTCATTCTTTCAGTGTTTGAAGACTGGATTGTGGAAAGAATTATTAGAATCAACAAATTTCTTTTAATTTTTCAGCAATTGAAAAATATTTGATCTTTTCCAGGCACTCAGAAAAACCATAATGAAACTTAACTGTGCATTTTTGGGAGTTTTATCATGCAATTTCGAATTTTATAATTGATTCATATGGAATTGAATGAATTTTGTCAAGTTTATGCTCTTATTTTTCTTAAATTCTCTAATGTTGAATTCAAGAAGAAGTGAGAATAAGTTATGACCTTATTTCATCAGTTTCATTGATTCAAAAAAAATAGTACAGTATCCCCAAGTGAGGCGCATTCCCCATTTTTAGTGACTTTGATTTTGAAATATTTCATAACTATGAGCACTCAAATTTGAATTTTAGACACAAATTGAATCTGAAGTCATCAAATTTTCAATTTTTTCCATAAAAATTCGTTTTTCAGATGATGTTGGTCCAAAATTTCCCTTCAGATTCAAGTAGAATGCACACATGAACTTCTAGAACATTTTTGAAAATATACACAGGCCAATGACACCCACCCATTTTCCCCTCTCAATTGTGAGAAAAACTTTGCTTTTGGTTCTCAATTCAATACAGTATTTGTCGTGAAGGCGAGTCCATTAGTATAAAATCTTTTTCTTGTGGTTTTAGATGTTTCTGACAGTTACAGTCGCATTCCAAAAAAAATTTGTCTTGTGTCTCAACGTAATTGTGACTTTCACTAATTTGATTTCAGTATTCAATGAGTCGAAAATTTTGAATCCAACAGAAATGTTGGCTTGTCCAGTGCAGAGTAATTTTTGAACACCCTAAATTTCTTCTACTCTTTGGTGTGGTTGGTCATGTCAGTTCCATCAGCAAAAGAATTTTGATTCTATTTATATAAAAAATGAATGGAAAATATAAGAAAAAGCCGTTGATGCAAAACAAAATTCTGGCTTATATCACTTGACGTGTAATATAATTTGGTTTTTCGTCAGTGGATTTCCATTTTTTTCAAGGTTCCCGAAAATAATTAAAAGTGATTGAAATAACCTGCTTGAATAATTCGAATGTTGAAAGAACTCTGCCGCCATGAAAATGTTTTTGAATACAGATTCTTTCGAGGTTTTGATGATTTTGTGTATTTAAAACTGCATGTTTCCCTGGCATGATTTCTGTCTTGGCAGAGAGACTCCAGGATGATGTTTTTTTTTTTCGGTCGCTGAGAAAGTTGAACTTTTTGAAGATGGGCGTTTGCTTTTGCTGAGTAAAACGGACAGTGCGTTGAAAGCGTTTTCCTGCTTCAGGTGGATGAAAATTTCTTCATTTCATTCGTTTTGATCGAAGTGCCGAAATTTTGGCTGCAACTATAATGTGCTGCTCAAGATTCCCAAGTGTTTCGAATAATGAAGGTTTATGAAAATTTTCTGATGGAACTGATTTGACCAACACAACCACCTGAAATTTGAAATGATTCATTTTCTCGTTTCTTGGATTCGAAAATTCCTTTTTGCATTGAAAAAAAAAATGACGATGCAAATTTTTGCATTTCCTGTCTGACATTCATGAGGTTATTTCCTATTCTTGTGGACTCATGTTTCTTGCAGTTGATGGCTTTTCTTTTCTTTTGGTGGGCGAAATTTATTTTGAGAGAAAAATTCTCAAGAGATGTGGAGACAAAGGACTCAAACGTTTATATATTTTGCTTGCTAAGTAGTGTGACTTTTTTTTGGTGGTCAAAATCTCTTTTTTTTCTTGAATTGGGGCAAGTTGTCTTTTAAAGTGTAAAATATACTTTTCAAGAATTACAGTTCTTCACTCAAATTATTCTAGTTAACATGAAATATGGATGAATAATGTGCAATGCATTATAGATGTTCAATTTCCACTTTAAGCTACAGTGCTTCCTTATTAAAACTGACATGATGTGCTGCATTGTTCAAGAAAGAAGTGGTATGTTGGAATTTGCAAACTTCAAAAGGTGTCCAGGGTTTTCCTTTGTCACTAATTATGTCTTCTGTTGATTTGTCAATTTGAGGCATGAGGGAAATTATAGAATAAAGTCAATGAAACAGTTCAGCCTCTCTGTCATATTCAGTAGGACCCATGAAAATTAATTTAACATTTTCAGAGTTGCCAAAAAAAGCATTTTTGCTGTAGGAATTGTAAAATAGGTGAAGAAGCTGTTGCATAATTGAGTTGACTAAATGCTGAACTTGAAAGCAGAGGTACATTTTCTCAATTAATCACTGACTTCCTTTTGGGAAGCATTAAATTGCATTTTTATTTTTTTTCTCTTTCATGGGTCCAGAATAATTACCCCAAGGACACATGGGATCTTAATTATTTAAGTTTGAAGGGGAGAATCTTTGTGTTAGGAAGTCTGATATTGATTTATTCTTGAGGGCATTTAAGCAGGGACTAGAACATTCATTTTTAATTCAGACAAGTTCAACTTCAGTTGGTTCTTAGAGTTGCCAACACTGCAGCAATCACAAGTCAATGCATTGTTTTAATAGGGAAGACCCCATGTTACCTTATCAAATTAGAAAGTCCTTAACATTCTGTTAGAATTGTTTAAATGTGTCCCTTTTCAAGAATGAGAAAGATTGCGGAAGGAGGGTGAAGGAAAAGTCAGTGACTTCAAAAGTGATAGACAATGACGGTGGTTTTACTTTTCCTTTTGTCATGAAAGAAATTCAATAAAGTATCTCCTACGAATTTTTATTTTACTTGGTAGAGATATGAATGTATGAACTCACTAGGCAGAAGTCATCCGGGAATTTTTTTTTTTTGCATCACTCCACCAAAAACATTTTACTTATTTTTTTGGCGACCGATTTGATACGTTCATTTTTGTTTTGATGTCGCGTGTAGATCTGGGGGTCAAATGATGATGATACTTGATTTTTTGGCCGACATGTGTTGAGGTATCGACCTGACCTTGTTCCTTTTTTTTGAATTCCTGAATGACTAAAAAAAAAGAGTATTTTGACATCTTGGCTCTTCCGCTTCCTGCATAACGTTGCTGTGCTGAGAAATCGTGATGTACAGTACAGTAAAAGCTGTTTTTCTTCTCAGTTTTTTTTTTTCGTTGTTTCTGAGTCCGGCATATGCAGTGTTTTGTTGTTGGGAACCCACAAGCTGTTTTGCTGGGTCAACCGGAAGTATTCCAGACAAATGAAAGAAAATCCCCCTTCTGCCGCATGCCCGTGCAAATTTGGCTTGTTTTTTTTTTCTGGAAATTGATTTGTGGAATGTGTCTTGAAAGACATTGAACTGAGTGCTTTTGAAAGAGGTACTTTCTTGGCTGTTTCATTTCGGTTATCACCGGCTAAACCAAGTGCATCCTACGCTTGGGCGAAGTTGAGTTTTATTTTGTGGCACACAATAGAATATCTTGAATCTTATGCAGTATTAAAACAAATATTTTAGCCTCCTGTTGATGTTGGGTTCATGAACCAGCAGACACATGTGTCAACAAAGTTTTATCTTTTATCCAATATTTTCCTGAAAAAAAAGAAGACAAATCATTCTTGGTTATAAAGTTGGTCATTCCTGCATGAAACAAATCCAGATTGAGGAGTTTTTGCTTCTGTGACTCCAAACATTCATTCATTTTTTAAAAGGTGACTCAGCTATTGATGGTCCTTTGAATCATTGTTGCATAACATATGGGCCATATCTGCCCTGCAAGAGACTCATCCTTTTCCCTTTCAGTTCCTTGCCTTTAATTTTCTAAGTGGCAGACCCATACCATTCAAAAGTATATTGCAAGATGAACAATTGACAACCATCTTCAAAAACTCTAAAAGGTTACTATAAATTAAAACTTGAAACTTCTCATATAGAAGGGGAATATTTTGGACATGAATTATTGTCTCTTGCGCCCTGAGAACTTGTCTCCATCTCTGTAGTATGGCCCTTGACTTCACTATCTGATTTGGGCAGCACTGCATTATTATAGGTGAAGGCATCCATCATAGCTCACAATGTTGGACAAATTTGCAACAACAAAATTCAGTAATTCTTTGAAGAATACCTCCAAGAATTTTAATGATGAATCAGAAACTACAGTCCTGCAACAAGTATTGGCTCAGTATTTTATATATCTGGGTTTAAAACTGATCAGTCCTCTTGAATTAAGCACAGTAGTTAATTGAGCATCAAAAATGATTTTTGCAAAGAATTTTCTCTCAAAAAAAATGTTGAACCTGAAGTTAATTTATTCCTTTTCTATATGCAGACTTGAAGAGAGATACAAGATTCAACTTTTTTACTATCATTGACATCCATATAGATCTATATATTGATTACATGTATGTCACATCAGGCAAACCTTCATCAAGCAGGTCATGAACAGCAGAAAGAAATCAGCAAAATAATGTTTGTTCTTTTACAATTATTCCATGCCTAAATCCCCCATAAGTGTACTTAATAAGATTCCCAAAGCCAAACATAGAAGAAATCCAAATTTGTCAATATACTGTATATGGATGTTTTTCATTCTTTTTTCAAAACATTTTGGAAGAAGTGAACCGGTTGACAAGGTCAAATCCAAGAACAGGCTGATCAAAGGGCACGAGGTGACCAGCATTACGAACAAGGACAAGACCCAAGTTCTTGTGCTCTTTGACATATCCTGCCATCTCTGCCCCAAACTTCCACTGCCATCTGGGGGCAGCGTCAAAACCTTCCTTGTGTTCCCACTCCAAGTTATCCACAAAGCTCTCAGTGAGGGGGTAGGCCACTGCTATATCCAGCATCCCATTGTACACCAACACCTATATATGACAGTCATTCACCATGCAAGATCTCATCAGTGGATAAAAATTGAGTGAACATTTAAATATGAAGATCAACTTAGTTCCATGAACTGTCTTTCAAACCACTGCTGAAAGAAGAGAAACACGTGAAAGAATATTTCTTCCAAATTGATCCATTGTCCTCTGATTAATTTTTCTCTAAGAAGCAATATACTGTAGTAGACAGTATACTGTATCCATTGAACTACATGTACAGTATACAATATTAAAATAACACTGAACTGAAGGAAATATAGCCACCTGTTTTTTTCTTGAGAGAATCATTGAAAAATTTGAACAGCAGACTAAAATGGACATGCAAATTTACTGCTTAGAAATTTTGTTTTAAATAAAATCTTGATTGAAAAAAACGTTTTCTGTAAAACTAGCATCTTTTGAAATTCATGAAGTGTTGCCACCTGTTATTCCTGAAAATAAAATAGATCTACTGTACTGTACAGTATTTCTCTGAGGAAGACATGACAGTAACTTTAGTGATATACTGTACCTGTTGCATTTAACATTTTCATACAAATAAACTTAGTAAAAAGTGCTTTCTACAGAAGACAAATCATACTGAATTTAAAAAACCCATGTCATTGATGCAGTCAATAAGGGCTGTAATTTCCCCAAATATTTTAAAGGATTTATTATTTTATTTCTGGTCATGAAGAAAAATAAGAAAATGCTGAAGGGAAAACTCACCTTTAGACCTTTGTTCAGGAGATTTTCAATCTTATTCTTGACTGAGCGTCCCATGTCAGGAAATATTTTGGTTTGCACCTTTCTGGAATTGTGATACACAGTTTTGCCAACATGAATGGCCTCTCTGACTGGTATCAGATCCAGGAACTGAAAATAGTAGGTGAACTCCTTGGGTTCCACTGGCAGTCTGAAGTTGAAGTAATAGTTGTAGGCAGTGACATTGGTGAACATGGAGGTGTGTCCTGGTGTCATCACTCCTCCAAGAATGGTGTCTATCAACTGTTCATGATGATGTGCAGGAAAAAATACAAAGTGATCAAAACATCAAGATTTTAAGGATAAACTTTCCTAAAAATGATGCATTTGCTTCTATATTCCCACCCCAATGCCAAGAACTACAGTGGTATCCAAAAAAGACATACAGCAGTGTATAATACAGTGGGGCTGAGATGCGTATGTCATTGGTGCTTGGGCCTTATCCCCATGTAAATCAATGAACATCAGCAGATGCTAGATCACATTTTTTCTTTTGACTTCAAGGGAAACTTTGAAATTATTTCTCCAGTTGATTAAGAATTAGGAATAATTACCCCAAAAAATTAACTGAATAAACATCGTTTGTCAATTTCAAGATGCAGAAAATAACTGCTGTGCAGAAGAAAACCATAGAAATGCTGACCTCATGGCATCAAAATAAGGAGCACAAAAAGCTAAAAATAAGTGCAAGTCCTTGATGTACACTGTGCACAGATGATGGGAAGAACTCTGAAAAAGGAGCACACAATAAGAAGTCTTTTTTGATGATGAATTTGAGTGAATTTGTAAAAAATTAATTTTTTTTACAATAAAAGCAGCTCAATTTTTAAAAGTTATCAAAAATTTAAGAAATAAATTTTTCCCCCTTAGCTGCTGGAAATGTTGGGAAGTGTCCGCATCTTGAGACATTGTTCAGATGTTGGGCAGATATTTTAGATTTTGTGTTCGTTTTACTATTTGAGACCTCTGACAGAAACTGCAATCTTGTTGGCAGGCTATATACTGAGGAAAAAAATTAATAATTGAGGTAGGGATCATATCACTTGAGATATCAATAATTTTGGCTGATGGCGTTTTAACTTGGTGTACAATGTTTTATCATCAGGAAAGATTTGTTTTTTTTTTCAAAATGAAATTGCATGCAGTTAGTTGCTAGAAGGCAGGTGACATCTTTTAATGGTGTTTGACTGTACAGTATATGTAATACTGTAGTATAATCGCTTTTGATACCCTCCAGTATGCAAATTTCTTTGACTTTTTGCTTAAAATATCTTTGTATATTATTGTCATGGGTCCATTGGATCCCAGACAAAGGAATTGAATTGTGCAGCCATCAGAATGCAAGTTTTGAANATATATACAGCAGAAACAAATGAAACAAAAACAAGACAAAAACTTACCCTGGCTGCCAGGGTCCATTTTTCTTTCTTGATCTGCTGCCTGGCAGCCTGGGCGAGTTCCCTGAACCTGTCTCTCTCCTCGTAACCCGCCATGCCGATGGTGAAGAGGAAGTCTCCCCAATGGATCATGTTGATGGGATCGCAAAACCCGTTCCCGATCCCTATTCCCTTCAAGTTGATCTTGTGCTCCGGAGGCAACACCCCGTTTTCCACCGTGATCTTGTGGGCCAAAGACGCCGCGTATTTCCCGCCGTAGGACTCGCCCATGATGTACAGCTGTCTGTTCCGCTGTTCGGGGAACATTATGAGGAACTGCTGCAGGAACGAGTACAGGTCTCGAGCGACATCTTCTTGACTGGTTGCGTAGCACTCGTCTCTCGCCGTGTAACTAAAACCTAGATGTCACAGCCATCGGTTACATGCAAGTGATGATGTCCCCTCTTCTTCACAGCAGCGAGGGAACAATAAACCCATCATAGGGGTCCTTGGACAAAAAATTCTTATACTGTACTGTAACAAGATTCATGATGGTTCCTTCAGCATGCTGTAGGACTGAACTTTAGTAGGAAACAGCTAATCGATTCTTACCAGTGCACTGCATACTTTATACTTCCACAACATATGTGAGGAATTTCCCCAAATTTTCAACTCATTTGTTTAGGAAATAATGGAGGAAATCCAAAATCTGAAATACAGTACAAACTGTAATCTGATTTCAGAGTTTTCTTCCTGAATGTGTTATAAACAACACAAATCTCAGCAAAACCTGAGCTGAAACAAGCAGAAAATACAGCATTTATATTCATTACAAGGACGGATGCAATTTTCCTAAAACATACTTTTCCTTTGAAAAAAATTTACTATCTGTTAATTCTGAAGTTAAGTAAACTTTGATTAGTGCTTCACACTTCCTGTAATGGTAAATTATCTGTGCAAAATTCCTAGCATTAATATTTTTGATTATTTTTTTCAGTCATGCAGAAGTGAAGTTTTCCCACATTGTACCAATTAGCAAAAATGTCATTGACCCACACACACACATGAAGTAAAAATTCATTACAATGAGATCATATATAGGGAAATTAGTCTGAAGTGACAAATTTTTATACTGTAATATTGTTCCTTAACAAAAACTGCTGGGATCTACATAAAAAAGTGGCCCAAGTTGGAAATTGGGCAATTCTTCACAAATACTTTATGTTGATTTGGAAGTATACAGTGCTTAGGGCTTCTACTACTGCCTGTTTCCCACAAAATTTCATTCCCACATTCTGAAAGAACCAATGCATCTTGTTATAAAAAAATTATTATTAAAACAAATTTCTTCTCAGTTACATGAGAGTTGTTTTTAATGCAATTTTGCTTTATTAATTGGTGCTGACCTTCAGTACATACCCCAGTGGGGAGCTATTTTTGTTGTGACCCCACAGTATAGGTGCACACCAGGGTCACAACTGGTGCACATGGGTTATTCTGGGGTTAGAAGTGTGCACTCCTGTAGAGGAAATTTTGCTACCATTTCAGGGCTACACTTGGTGTACAAATGTGAGATAACAAGAGTATCACACAAATACACCAACTATAACCTTGGTGTAACTTAATTGTTCACAAACAAGACCTTGAGTAATCCCGGTGTGAACACATAATTGGTGCACATTAGGGATATGCATGTGCAACAGAAGAACTTTGGTACACTTCAGGTGCACA